TTGCCAGAATCTCTAAAGATATCTCCGACTGTCGACTGCAATGTCGACTTAAATCTCTTGAATCTTTTAGCGCAAAATTCCCAAGATGTGTTCTCTCCGTAGCGGTGGTTTCGTGCTCTTCTCTAAACCGGCCTGCGATTAGCGCTCGCAATTTACGCGCGGAAGCCGCCTCGCTGCCTCGCCGTGCGACGCGACGTGCACTCGAAATGATTTATACGCGTTCCGTCTTTGTACGTGACGCGTCGTTTACCACCCGCTCTCCGGCGAAGATTAATTAACCCCGTGGCGTTTCGGGGGAGAAACGTGTTCCGCCTTGAGCGCTTTTCGCGAGGCTGGCGCGAGGGGGGGGGGGATCGGGGCCGTCGGCTTCGGTTTCTTAATCCAATTTCGTGGTGCATTAATCTAATTATGCCTAGGTATATGCACGTGACGTGCAATTATGCCGGCCGGTCGCACCGCTGGACCGCTTTCGTAATGTTACCGCGCGGCGTATCCGGACGTCGGTCGAAGGAGCTGTCGGGTCGGCAAGAAAACTCGTCCGCGCGGAGTGCCCCAGAACTGTCGGGGAGATGATGCCTTAAAGATAGAATCTTCTCTCGCAATTTCAAGTTAATTTAGGTCTTGGGGGGGAAAAAAAAAATCCGTGCTATGAGTAAAGAGAGAAATAGGGGTTTCCTCGTGAATTCATTCGCAGAAACGGAAATGAACGTAGGCCGAGAGATTTGTTTTCCTTTCTCGATCTACAGAACGTTTAATGAAACAATTTGCTCTGATTAAATTTTCACGCCTATTTATAATATACCAGAACACGCTGTGTCGTTTGAGAAAAGTTAAGCTTAAAAGGATTTTTGTTTTTGGATGTATTTTTCTTATGATCTTTATTTGTAAACCGTAAGAATTTCAATGTAGATCGTGAAAAAGATATCCAACAGTACAAATAAATTAAATATAATATATTTCCACTATGGGAATAAATGCCTCGGTAGGGGGATTCGAGTTTTTCTCTGAAAAGGTATAAAAGTATTATATCGCTTGCAAGTATCTATTGAAAAGCACTATCGCACCTATCGTGGATAGGAGCATTGATTCGCCAACAAAACTTTCGCTTCGGTCCGCTTAGTGGGTACTAAGTTTCACATTAATTACATCATCGATTTGGCCGATCTCATAATAAGAACCGCTTGCACTCAGATGTAACCGCGGAAGTTCACGCGCACGTTCACGCCAAGAAAGTATTTGAAGTGAAAGAAAGAGAAGCGAGAGGGGGTGAACGTGAAGTAGTATGTCGAATAACTTCCTAGAGGCGCGCCTGTCACGAAGCCCCGGGTCATTGGTCACCTCGTTCTTATCTCGCACTGTCTGCGGCCCATCTTGAAGGAGCTTATGCGCAGCGCCGTTGCACGGTTTACCGTAAACAAAATTAATCCATCTACCACTTTCGTGATTATAGAAGCCGGTTTGCACGAGAAAAAAAATTGTAAATTTATCCTTAGGAAAAAATACTGGGGTCAATCTTATCTCATTATTAGTTATTAAACGGGATTTAAACATAGTGACTCTGCGACATTATGTCCGCAATTATTTCACGAGAAACGCGGTATCCACAGATTATAGATATAATTGTAATGAGAAACTTTAAACTTGAAATTCTTTTGTTAATTGCATCATTGCGACTGGTTCTCACAACCATGATTTTCTTTATCAATTAAGGAGGTTCTCGCATTTGATGAAATATGCAAGTCTATAACATACATGTAATACAAATGTTAATAATATTAATAATATCTAGAAAAAATTTCATTGACTTTTATCATTTTGAAGATATTTAATTCTAAATTTATAGAGAGAATATTACATCACAAGTTGAAGGTATAACCTTATTCTCTTTTAAATGAGACACTTGCGTGTAACACAGCAATTTAAAAATCGTTATAATTATAAAGTAAACGCTTAAGTTTGTTCTCGTAAAGTTTCATTTAAATTAACTATACAGTTTATAAGAACTTTAAATTCTTCAATGAAAAAAAGCTAGAATATACTCGTATGTCAAATGGACGATGCGTATATATCAAATGAACATCTTACAACTTTTATTTTGTCATTTTGAAAATATTTAGTAACCTATAAAATTAACAATAATTATGTATGATGGCATAAGGTATTGTATTAGTAATCTTTTTATTCCATTATTTTAATTGTTTTACGTATTATTGTGAATAAACTGTCCATTGACTAGGAAGTAGCGCGAGAACCTTCTTAAGTGTTATACAAAATCTATTAATTCGCAAAGCTTAAAAATAATGTTAGATTTTTTTCATTAAAAAAAATCCAATATATTTAATTCCATTTGTTCTATAATACGTTATGCATTCATTTTTGCATAACATATTTTACGAAAAAGAGAAAATGTGAATAACAGATAGGAGATCTGTTATTTAGGATTCTGGCTGCGGCGTGTTGGAATTTTCGCGTCAATGTACAAAAGATTGGTTCACGAAATCGTTTAATCCAGACCACCGAGTTGATGCTCGCCAGGTGTCGAGTCACGATCGTTACTTTCTTCCAACGAGATCCTCTTTGGAGAAATCCGAAACAATCGTCGACACGCCCATCCCACGTACACCTATGCATGCGCTTCGTTAGGTAACGGACAACAATGTTTCGTCGGGCGCACATAGATATTGTCTTAATGTAACGTAATAACCGTGAGCTATCGCAGTTATGAATTACTCCAAGCGAGTCTCGTCAAACTTCAAAGTTAGCACAACTATCTCTCGAATCATGCAGCCGTTTATCAGAAACTAAAAATATTTCAGCAAGCTTTTATTAAGATTTTCTTACAATCTTTTGTTGTAACTTAATCGTGTTTTCTGCCAAAGTATGACATTGTACACGGAAAGAACGATTTTGCTGAAGTGTCTGAAAGTTTAGCTAGATATAGATTTGAAAATACAATTCGTTAAATTATTAAAATATATAACTATGTAGGACATTCAAGCTGATTGCTAGAATGTAAAAAATATTTCGCAGCATTGCTCACAATGCTTAAGTTTTCTACACAAATATTTTTATGGACTAAGAAAATTATAATCAGATCTCTATTAATGTATTAGTTCAATTTTTAGATATTTCAGCAAATTCGTTCTTTCCGTGTACAGTACTTTCCGTGTTTGATAAAAATCTGCGTGTAGGAAATTTCTCCGTTTCCTATATTTTACATACTATATTTGCTTCAATCCACATATTTCATCTGCTTCCTACATTTCACATCTGCTTCGATCTTATAAATGCAATGTACTATTATTTGGTCTGCTGCACTATAAATTATTACAAAGCCATCATATACATATATAATAAAAGGCGTATAAACCTTTTATATTTTACGGACCATTGTGGTAATAGAAATTCTCAGGACGATCTTTTTGTCACCGTCCACTGACATTTCCGTGTTGATCTAAGCAAGCGTGAAACCGCTTATTTGTGATACCGGAGATCGTAGTGCGACGATCAGAATCATAACCGTTATTTTCCTCGGACGAGATTCTCTTTGGCGAAACAATCATAGGCACACCCATCCAGCGAGCGCATCATGCCTATTTTGTTTAGCAGATAGCTTACAACAAAGTTCTGGGCTATACGAACATCGCGTCGTGTTGCTCCATAAATATCTGGTATCCTGTTATTACTGCGAATTGCATTCTTACTCAATCCATTCTTTCCACTACTCGCAAAACGAGGTCACGATTTTTTGTCTTAATCGAAATATATGTTTCGCGAACTATTTTCTTATGTTTGAATTATGATTACGTTATGACTGATGTCATCTTGTACAGAAGAAATATTATTTTTTATGCCCTTACCTAATGTGAGTCATTTTTAAGTGTTTTTATACATCGTCACTGCTCTTACTTAATATGTTATTAATTTAACTGAAATAATGGAGTTAAACACTTTAACCCAAGAACGTGTACTAAACTTGACTTAAATTTAGTTTATTATTTGCTAGATACATACGTATTAATAGATGATATTTATTTTGAAATTAACCAACTCAACCACAGAAATGGATTGATTTATATTTTGATAGACAGAAAAGTAAAAAAATAACAAAATGATTACTTAATGAAAGGATTGGATTATTATTGCTTCTCTAACGTCTGAAACAGCGTTGATATACGAATTTTATTTTGCTTCTCATGAAGTTTTTTCATGATCGTTTCGCATCTCTTTTCCGCGAATGATGATCTTCAGGGAAGGCAACGACGATGCAAAGGCATTGCCCGCGGTACTGATTACCTGCCATTCGTAGTTTCGAGTGGTGACTGCCCTTGCTACGGAAATTATGAAACCGGTCCATAATTGGAACTTGACTAATGACAAGATGGGTCATTGCGCATATTATAGCCATGGATCGGCATTAGCTCTCGCGCGGGATGCTTCACGGAACTGCAATAGTGCGCAACTGTGCTCCACGTGGGAAAGGATGCATTAAAAGTGCATCAAACGGGTGGGGAAATGGCGAGCGGTGCCGAAAGGCAGACATTCGTCTGTCGAAATTAACATGGTAAAGGCGGGCACCTTTCATATTTTCGCAACGGAGATTAGTTATATACGAGCTCTACTAACAGAAGCTTCAGGATTAATTATTATTATCATCTATATTATTATGAATGAGCAAGTAGAGTATGGATAGAACTAAATTATACGCGTACTCTGCGTTTTATAATCTATATATTTTATATTCTCTATAAGAGAAGATTTACACGTAGATCTCCTTACGGTACGATTCTACGTGAAACGCGTTTTTAATGACAATATTTTAATCGACCGGAAGAAAATATCTTTGAAGGTTATCAGCAAATTAGGAGATTAGAGATGAAATTGGAATATTTTCCAAGAACCGTGCCTGCCTCGCATACGCATGCGTCTTCATTATCCTACACACCCAAAGACGTACGCCACGCAAAGTATTTAAAGCGCGATCGTTCTCTCGCTTGCAGATGGAGCATAGAGGCGCGCCAGCAGCACGCGGGCAGCAGCAGGAGCAGCAGTAGCGTTCAGCTATCGTTGGGGCCCTGTCTCGCTCTCTCTCTCGGGCCCGATCTCGCGCGGGGGGACGCGGGATCGCGGAGGCGTCGCGCCGTGCCGTGCCGTGCCGGCCGAGCGACCGCGATGGCCGCGACCGACGGTCAGATCGTCGTCGCAGCGGCACGCTGGGCCGAGGAGCCGACGTACCTGCGTGAGTTCGTCTCCAAGTACCGTCTGCCAGCCGTGATCAAGATCACGAAGGGCCAGTATGGCGGGCTGGGCGTGCCGACCCTACCGGCACCCAGCTTGCAGAGCACCGCTCTGCTGATATCGGCCGGCCGTCGGCGTAAAATCGTGGCGCAGGCGGTGAAGATCAAGGAGGGCCGGCGGGTAGTCGGTGTGGGGCCCAGACTGGCGATACCGGACTCGTACGCGGGCTACTTCGAGATCCTGAGCGAGGAAGGCCGAGCGGTGCGCGGCATCGAGTCGGTGAGCGAGTTATCGCGCAGATGTCCGGAGGAGGGTGCTCTGGTGCGCGAGACCGTGCGCGGCATCGCCTGTCGGGTGGACGACGAGTCGGGTATCGTGGTACCGGAGGGTACGAGGACCCTCGCGGCCGGCGAGACGATCGTTACCGCCGGTGAAGTGGCCTTACCCGGTCGCGGCCGGTTTCTGCGCTGCGTCGACTGTCACGGCGACAGCGTTTTGCTTGGAATGGATCAACGTGGACGTTTCAGCGCCCTGGCTCGCGAGGACAACATCAGCGGCGTGCACACCGCCAAGGCGCTCCTCAGCAAACGTCTGCCACTCACCGTGAGACTGGTGCATGGCCAACCGCCGCGAGGACTCAAGTCGTCGTCACAATTTGTGCCCGAGTTGAGGCTGCTGTCGACTTTCGAGGAGGAGCACGTATTCGCCTTGCCGCTGCAGAGGGAAGGTGCGGCGGTCGCGCTGCCGCTCGCGGCGCCGCTCAAGCTGGTGAAGGCGCGAAACGAGGAGGCGCTCAGGTCGATGCAGGAGTTCACGAGGTTGGTGGAACGCGCCTCCCGTCTGGTTGCCGACGTTGCTGATCGGTCGCATGTGTTGGACGGTCGTCTGGGCGAGAGCAAGCCCTCCAGGCAGACGAGGAGTGGCTCGGGCTTCCTCAGAAGACCGTCGACGAACTCGGATCACACACCGTTGAGCCACCATAGAAACAGCAGTGCTAGCCATCATCATCATCATCATCATCACTATCACAGCAACGGGCATCAGCCGTCCTCCGGACACTCCGGGTACCGGGATGAGAACAGGATACCACCGTCGTCAGCCTGTACGGAAGAGTACGACGAAATTGATCAAATATATGACTACGTGCGCGGCTTCGCGCCGTTGCCGAAGAGCGTCAGGTCGCCTTACGAGAGTCCTCTCGCCGCCGGCCAGGGAGGTTTGACTCCACCGTTGACGCCGGTAACGGTCACGATCACGCCTTTATTGGACGATCGACCGGAACCACCGCCGATCGAGACGATACCGACGAAGAAGATCCAAGCGGAGAAGCGGACTAGACGCGCGGTCAAGGAAGCGCCGCAGCCGCGGGTGGAGAAGCCGCCGTTGGCGAAGCTCTACGTGAAGAACAGCGGCACTCAGCGCGGGCGACCGCTAATGAGGCAGAAGAGCGCGTCGCCCTTGAAGGAAACGCCGCCGGGTTACAAGGGTGGTTCGCCGCTCTTCAACATACGTTACAAGAGTCTGACGAATCTTCAACAGGCGATGGAGCTCGACGGCACGCTGGATTCCAGTCACTCGGGCGGAAGGACGTCGGGAGATTCCGGCGCGGGTGCCAAACTGCCAGAGAAAAGGTATGCTTTCACTACCTAAGATGCTAAGAAATTGTAAAAACGCACACACACACACACGCGCGCGC